CATTTTCGAAGAGATAAGATGTTACTCGTTTATAAATAGTAGTAATATTAAAAAAATATAGTGATAAATTAGCATTTTTATCAATTCTTACTAAATATATACGTTAAGAGATATGTTAGTGAGTAAGGAAAAAAATAGCGATTTGCTTGGAAATTGTTTTTGATTCATCTTAATTTGGAAGTCTTGCTATCTTAATTAATTGAGCTAAGATGGCTATGCCACAAAGGATAGCTAAAACCATAAAATTAAAATTCTTCACTAATGACTAAGTCAAACGAATCCTTACTTGCATACAAAATAACAGCAAACACAAAAGGTCCGGTACGAGCTCGCCAATAGCCAGTCATTTTAAGTGATTAAAGCAATGTTAATCATTATAACAGTGATTAAGATTTAGGAATTAAACAACTACAATAACCAGTCCAGCAAAGTCAATCTCAGTTAACCACTATATAATATATATATATATATATATATATATATATATATATATGGTATACTTTTTGGCCTGAAATGTATTTGCGTTTAAATATCACGAGACTAAACAGCCAAAAAAAGAGATTAAAAAATTGTTCAGCAGATTTTTAATTTTTTGAATTGATATGGTGTTCAATGTGACATTAAAAAAGTTTAAATACAAATTACATGTCACTCAATCTTAAAATGGGTTAATTTCTTTGCGAAGAAACCCAGACGTTAAATATTTTAATTAATGTCTATAGATTAAGCTGACTGATTGTTTTGAAATAAATTTTATTATGAAAAACATAAATTAGAGATGCAAAACCTATTATAAAAAAGTATGACATCATGTTATCAGTGATTATTTTTGCCATTAATTTCATTGTTACTGAGGGACATGGCATACATTTGGCAAGCCCTATGATATTCAAAAAAATTGAAAAAAAATGTTATGCTATTACAATAATTATATTTTTTTCAAATTTGGAAGATTTTTAGACAACAAATATTATAAGATGAAACTTCACCTTTAGACCTGAAACATCTTTTGAAAAAACAATAAGTGTTATTTTGGAAAATCGTCATTTATCGTGAGATGGATGTATGGTCATTGAATGCATTCGTTATTGTATTGCAAACGAACACTTTTGTCAAAATATGAATATATTTACAATTACATAGAAGGTTGTAAACAGTGGTACGTGCAAATTTTTTTAGAAATATACAGAACTAAAAAACCATTATAGAATAGAATTACTTCTATGTTTCTCCATCATATAATCGCATACATTTTAATCTTGACAATTTAACTAAAACAGGTTATTTCAATTGATCTGTAAGACAATATATAGCTCGACAAAATAAGTTATGTCTATCAAATAAAATCTGAAATCTAAATATGAAGTTATTATGCCAATACTAAAGAGGTTCCGCAATTCGTTATTTTCGCTATTTAAAATGGCTTTTAATAATGTTTCGTTAGCGAAATCAAAGATCCCTTATTGTTGGAAACCAGCTTTGAAATCTCTGACGTAATTGATCAGCTAACTGTAATTAAACAATACCCAAAATATCTCCATTGGCCATCCTAACGTATTGTTATTTGTCGACTAATTTGAATTCGGTTTGGTCTTATTCGAGTTACCCAAAATCATGTCACATTATGAGAGAATTATTAAAAAGTTGAGAACGATCATATGGAACCTACGCTGAATTTTACTGATGGAAACTCACATTGTCCCAATAGTGTGTATGGGAGTTGGAGATTTCTTAGATTCTTAACTCAACAAATGTAATGGAAATTTGTTAAATTGGAGATAATGGTTTGTCGATAATGCTCTAACAAGCAATGATATTGCATTTTCTTGCTTCAAATGATGTAGTTATTTTGGAAGTAGGAGTGGTTCCATTTCGCAACTTCAGTATATTGCGGACGATCAGTCACACGTATATTTTATTTACGGATTGCATTACGAACAACACAAAGTCACATTTTGTTCGAATGCTGCAAATGGTTAGCAGCTAGTTAAGAGGTAATTTTTAGGTATATTTTTTCCAATATATTTAAAATGTCGTAATTGAAAACGAGATGCTGAATAATATGTGAAGGCACAATTTGCCAAAGTGTGTTTCTTTTTACCAGGATTGATCTCAAACCTCCTACCAACCAATGCATTTTATAAAAAAAATTAATAACTAATAATTGTGGTTATTTCAACTAACCTGGGCTATTAAATCAATTTTATTTTGAAATTATTTAAATTTATACCTTTTAATTTAATTTTTTAGGTCTTAGGTTCAAATGCAACGGTTAGTTATTTTGGCATTTAGAGATTCAACAACAAACTAATCAGTTGTCACGTTCCCTTATGCCTCCTACTAAGCAACTATTTTTTATGCAATTTCATTGATGCTTTAAATAGGCCAAATTGCTAAATCTTTTAGTATTATTGATTTCGAAGCTATAAAAAATGAATGATAATCCATGAAATGATGCATCTGACCACGTTTAACTTTTTTTATTATCAATCTTTAATATTTATACAGTAATTATTTTTAAAATTAGTAATTAGCCATTCGTTTTCCTCAAAAATTATAATTACCTTGCCCACGTAAATCAAATAAATATAAGCATTAAGATTATCATTTTTTTGCCTTTATCATGGATGCAAGTTTATTTCAACATCGTTATTATCAATGTTCCCTTTGACGACACAAATCTGTTTCAAAATTGGTAACTGTATCCAGAATTTTTTGGGTCCAAACTAGGAGAAAATCATGCTAATTAAATGTATCAAGAAAAATTAAAATTTTGTTTAGATTAACAAATTTACTAATACGTTCTCCACTTTAAGAAAAATTTGTAATTTGAAGTAAAATATTTGAATCAGCCAATTGGGATCAAACTTTGACTAAAAGAAGCCACTCAATTGCGATTTTAGCGACTACGGCTATTCAAAATAAACTTTTTAAGTCGATTCCTTATTTACAGCAAAAATGATATTTTCTTAGTGGGAAATAAATACCCAACAGGATTTTGGACGAAACTAATTATTACGCACTTCGCGTTTCTTTAGATACTATTTCACTATGAGATAAAAGTTGTTTATAAATCTTTAGAACTCAGTTAATCTAAACGATATTTTAGCTTTTGCTTTATACATCTTTACTATATTTCATTTTGTTGCCATTGAATTTAACAAATTTAAGAATGGTACGAAACATCTATGTTTTTTTATAATTTCAAATCATGACATATATTCTTTTATTTAAAAACGATTTGACTAAAGTGCAAATGTAAACTTTACTTATCCAGAAAATTCGCTACATTATGCTAAATTGTTTCCAAGCACTAACCTTTTCATGTTTTTGTATTGAATCATAAATTGTTGCCAAAACGTCTCGCGATAAATTAAAACAGGCGATTATGTATATCCGTCTTTCAAAATTCTCGCTTTACGCGTTTGATATCTAACTTCATTCTGTCAGCGTGACATAAAATATGGTTTGATCAAATACACCTAATTGAACTTTTTAGTATACGAGCAGAATGGACCACTTGCTGCAAATTATTAGTTGACTGCAATTTAACCTGCAAATAATTTATGTAGATGAATTGAAGTCGTCACTCTCTAAGGAATAAAGTATGGATGGGAAACAAATTGAATTTTCAATCATCCTTATAATATTCCCGCCAATAAATTTTATCTTAACGTTTAAATGATGTAAATCCAACTTTAGGCAAACCATTTTTTATCAAACAGACTTCCTAAATTTAAAGAATAATCAGTTTCATCTTTACAATTGTTTATAGTAGGCTGAGTTATGAAATTGACATTTACAAAATTAAATCTATTTTGTAAAATTAATTTAAACTCATCGATTGACTGAGAGAGTTTCCAATCCACTTGCAGATTATTACTAGAGTTGGAAAATTCTCTTATCAATATAATTGAAGAACGTTATCATTTCAAATCTATTAATGATAAGCTAAATTGCTTTTAAAATGTTCATTATCAAGAAAACCCATTTAACTATAATTAATTTACTCCCTCGGACTTATTCTCAATTAGCAAAACGTTTATTTCGACAGGCCATGTTTGACAAATGGCTCAATGGAAGCAATGCTGATTGGTAATAAAGTTTGAAAATGGCCAATCAATTAAGGACGATAAATAAATAACTAATGTTAAGCAAAACATTATAATTGTTAATCTTTTTTTTCAATTTTTTGAAAATTGTTGATTACACCAAACTCAATAATGACATTATTTTGCCTAACTATTTAATGCATATGTATTGAAGTTTCAAATTTACTTTTCAAAAAGGCTATCTTCCAGGACCTATGAGATTGATCAAGATTTTAGGTCCTACATTTTATTGCATTAAGAGGTGTGTTTAAATTGGCCGGATGCAATAAAAATAAATGAGGACCAAATTTTGCATTTAGCTTAGTAGTCCAAGAACAACATTTTACTTATATCATAGTGCTGCATAGTCATAATCACGACATGCAATAAGACAATTGTTAAAAATGAAATAAACAGAAAGACTATTTATTGTTTATTTATTTATTTATTTGTTTCTTTATTTGTTCGAGTTAAATTGTGAATATATTTTCATTTAAGGAGCGCATAAGTTCAAGTCATTTCGTGCTAGGCATTAGTATTATATTCGATACCAAATCTTGCTTCACGTTTCTTTTAATGGGTTATTTTTTCCGATTAATTCATTCGGCTGAACCTCAGTTCATAATAATATTATTTGTAGAAGATGGTGACCAAGACTCACATCTTTGTTTTTCAGTTCGTTTTATAATTTTTACAAAAAAAATTATAGCTGTCATTTTTTTCAATTTTCGAGTTTATTTAATTATCATCATTAAGCTGAATTTGCACTTTAACCAATCATTTATTTTATTTTTTTGAAACAGCCATTGAGAAAGCATTCAGAAACCAGGTTGTGCCATCACTGTAAGTATATATTCGGTTTTCAAAAATAAAGTAGACAGTTAAACTTTTAAACTACTGTATTGTAAAATGATGGCGATTGCCAACTGCGCTTTTATTGCGATTTTCCTTCTCACTAATGTTATTGACCAAACAAATGCAGCTATGGGCGGATATTATTACGACAGTGTTCAAGGAAGGCACATACCATTTGGTGGTGGATCTGCTGGTCCAAGAGAAGATCCCTATGCCAATGGACCAGTTGAAGTAACTTATTATGACCCTGATAGCGGTGAATTCCGTAAAAAAATGTGGTCTCCGTATGAATAAGGGGGTCAACCAGGCGGATGATACTAGAAAAATTGTCCTTTACGCTGGAAGTGACATTTTTTCATGCCTCAATAATTGAATTTTAATCATTACAAATTGTCATGTAAAAACATATAGCCAACAAATAAACAAACTCTTCGTCATCAAATTCAAAACCTTCATTTTTGACATATTGGTTTATTATTTCATTAATTATTATGAACTCAAATTTTTTGAGGTATTAGTAACATATATAGACATAATTCCTTTATGCAATGTAGATGAGAGTCGGGCAGAATGTTAGAAAAATTGCCTTATAACAAAAAAAAGACAATATTTCTATTTATCTCTTGGCTTATTTTCAATGTTTAATGGAAGGAGATAGTAGAAAAGTTGCAATTTAAAATAATATCAATTTGTAAGATATTATAAGATTGCCGTGTTCGTATATAAAATTTTAGCTTTGTTCCATTCTTAGAAAACCTCTACAAAAATTACGAGGTAAACCATTTTAAGGAATTAAAGCTGAATCGCATTATTTTAGTTTTTTTGAGTGCCCTTGTCCAAGAATAAAGTCGATCAGGATAAATTCTTTCACAAAATCAGTCCTACAATATAACTTTTATACAAAACAGCAAAGTCAGTAAAGGTGGGTGCTCACCAGAAGCGACTTATATTCATTTGAGTTACATAAAATGCAGACCATATGATTGCTTCAGCAATTTGAATTTCCATTAGAACGAGAACTAGATGGTCAAATTTATAATAGGCCCAATTTGATTTAGAACAAATTACTTATGTTCGACGTTACTGATACATAGATATTGGATGCGCTCATCTCAGTGATAAAGTGTTTACTCTTATTTAATTTTGATATTGAAATCGATGGCAAAATTGATACATCAAAATTTGATTTGATTATTGCAAGCAAATTGCAACCTTGACTGATCTTGAAAATGCATAAATGCAAGCTCTTATATGTTCCGGAATAGATAATTCCATGTTAAAATTTAAATTTGCTATCTGATTATAGATCAGTAGTAAAGCATTGCAAACGCTTTTTGTCAATTTATAATTATTCGTGCATTTCTATGGAATATCTGTGGAAGCTAATAATTCCGACCTTGATTTCTTGGCTTTAAATAATTTCCGTCCATCATTGTCTTTTGAATAGCTTATATAACCGCCTCACAATTAAGTCGATTTTTTATTTTGTTTTTATCAAAATTTCTTCCATGAAATGCAAGCTTTTGATACTAACTTTAGTTGATTCCCGAATAATGGACTATTTACAGCGATAGGCAAAAAATCGCAACTTTTTGAATCTCGAATGAAATTAAGTGAGCAACGGATTTTTGATTTGTAAAATTTTTGCACGGTTAACAATACTTTTACAGACGTTAGCTCTCTGTAATTACAAAATCTAATTAATTTACTTGCTTCCTTCAATTAAACTGAATTCATTTTTAATCCGCTGCCATTATCATAGAGTGGTCAATGAAAGTTAATAGCATTCAAACTATACTTAAGCTTCCCTTCTAAATATCTAATGCCTCCTGATGATAAATGCTGAAAACATGGAGAGCAGCAATTTTTAAAATTATTATTTTTGCAAATTGTGGTTATCTCATTAGAGATGGTTACGTGATACACTATAGATGTTTGGTCATCTCTACATCTTGCTCATATCTGATATTAATCTTATTCATGCCGTCGGCTGTTGGTACAGTCTCTGGGAACTGTTAAAACATCATCACTATTTCATTCTTCACCTTTGTGCGAGTAAAAGCTCATAAGTTCCAGAACAAAGCAAGGCCATCTATAATCTTAGTATTTGAAAATATTTTATGCTCTGAAATGGTCACTTCATTAGTTTTTTGTTATATGGTCCATTCTAAAGATGAGTCAAACAAAACGTTGATGCGTTGAAACTTAAAAAAAAATATTTTTGCTTTAATATTGCATTATTTTTGAAACCCAAATTACACAATGTCTAAGTTTTTTGCACAATCTTGATTTCCGTTATTAGTTGTGCACCTTTCCAACTAACTTCTTTTCTTTTTATATAATTGTTTTCTAAATGAGGTTTACTTTATTTTATATAAAATAAACTTTTGATAAAGTTGATTGCATTAGCATTGTTTCAATTTGTTGTCACGTTGGGAAAAAATATCTAAGATTTCTCTAAGTCGTGTGGTCTTCGGAGTCAATACCCCTTCAAAAATTTAAAATTTTTTTATTTAGACTTAAAAATTGTTTTTCCGGTTGCCTCTACGTTGTGCTCCCTGGTGAACATATTTTTATACGGCATAAATGTTTATTAACCGGCAGTTGACTTCTAAATTCAAACCACCATCACCCCACTGTACGTCATATCCGACGACTTCAACAGTACTCACCTCAGATTTTTTTCTAATTTGTGTCTGTCTCTTTTACAGCTGTTAATCACTCTTCAGTTTCCCACCACTCGACTTCCTGTTACTTCGATGTTCCTTCCCCTGGGAAGCCCGAAGTCAGCTAATGGGCAAATGACAGCTATCAAAACGCCTGCCATTTGAAATGAGTGAATGAATAATTTGTTCTCCTCTACATTCAGTAAACTAGAATTTTAGAATAAATTAAATTAATGAACATATCATTGTGTCCTAGTAACAACCAAAGTTTTCAATTAAATCATGTTACATCGGGGAATCGTTAAAATTTGGAAACGTTTTTGATAAATATAGGAGCCATGCTTCTTAAATGCAATTTAAGATTTGGTCATTATAAATGATGAAAAAGAAGTTAGGGATTTACGACAATACGATTTGACAAACAGCAAAATTTAATTGGATCGTAACTACATTATTAGAGACGTTTCTGTCATTCAATTCGTTATACAATCCTTAAAATGTCTGAAATCTTGAGAAAATTAAAATCTTTAATAAAAATTGACTGTCACTCAAGCTATAAATTGAAAAGCTAATAAAAAAATATGATTATCATCTTTTGCGCAGAAACTTAGATGCATTAATAACGTTATTTTATTTTTACTGCTTAAGCAGCCTCATTCCAGATGAGATTATGCATTTATGTCAAATATGAATTTAAATTTAAAAGAGAATACGTAAATGAATGGCGGCAAAATATCATTGGCTATTTTTGAGATTAGTTTTTTTTGTTACTGAAGCACAATCCAATAGTTGGAATATCGACTGATAATCACATCTTTAAAATGCGTTTGTTCA